TATCAGGGCTTCCTATGATTGATCCATTATAAGAAATTCATTTTCCCCATTTCCAATGATACGTTTTGGTCAATTTGCCTTTTTATAAGCATCCAGTTCTACGAAATTCATGTAGCAATAGTTTGAAAACTAACTCGTTTGGATGATTCTGACCTGGATATTTTTGGGCATACACACTCGACGCCAAAAGCCAATTCTCCAAACACCCACCAATCGCTGAAATCATATCTATCCACCCTTGAACGGGATAAGTTTCCATTTTCAACAGAAATAATTCAGTGAATGTTTTGAATAATGTGAAAAACAATAACTGTCAATAAGAATTCTTTCAACAAGTTGAATAGATGTCGTTTCAAAGTTATCTTGATTTAAAAAATGCCTTGAAATAAGAACTACGATTTGAAAAATCCAGTATCTGAAAAATCATTCAGGTTAGGTAGAGGGAACCCCAAAATGAATTTTATATTGTTGAGACCGAAAAAATATAGGGTGTCCTATTTGAAATAACAGAGTTATCTTTCTCCGAAATTATAAAAAATTGACAATGGTTTTTGAATATTCTGTATAATATTAAGAAACGGGGTTCATCGAAATCAATAGCCCAAAAACTCTTTTATGCTTGGATGCTCGAATTTATGCTCGAATGGATGATTTCTTTCCAATTCGATGTTATTCAGTTTCCATTTGTACCTAGAATTTTCATTAAAAAAACTCGAGAACGGTTATAGTTAGGTACATAATACCTCATATGAAATCATATTATTTTTTCCTGAACAATTCTAAAGCGTAACGAAATATAAAGTGTCCTTTTTATAAAAACACAACTTTGATATGTCACTCTTTTTTAGTCACACTGTAGACTCCAGAATAAGTTTTCTTCTGCAGCTTTAATCATTACACATACAATGAAATGGAGATATTCCCAAAACAAATTTATTGGTTTTGTTCACAGGCACATAGTTTTCATATATCCGTAATAAGTATTAGCGATGATAAGTCAGTCGTCGCTAAGACTTTGACATACAACCTTCGTCCTTGCAATTCACAACCATACCACGTTCTATACTACCGGTTCAATTCGAAAAGCCTAGATTTGGTTTTCTCTACTTGTGATGCACTGTTTGGAACCTTTGGTGTGGTAATGAATAGTACTAGAGTTTTTTCCCAACACCAAACCGTTATTTCAACACCTCGACACGTGTTTCGGTCACCAAGAGATCATCTTCAAGAACAAAATCAAACTGGTTTCCTCTGATAGAAATGATAATTACTGAATGAAATCTAAATCGGATTATCAGCCTACGTCAGGTGGCAGTATTTACATAATTGATCAATAATAGTTTGAAGAAATAAAATTGAAATCTGCACTATGCGGTATAAGTTTCGTAGTTGTAAATTTTTATCTAAAATCGTCATCTGTTTTCAAACTCTCCGATACTACGTATCTCCTCTCTAGAAGGGCTCATATTAATTCCGGACACACCTTTTTCGGTGCGATTTTCATAAATCCGAAACATTTCTCAACTGGAGAGTTTATAGATAGACCAGCTTGGTTGTGACTTATGGAAATGTCTAGCAGGTGTGGAACCACTGTGAAATAATCCCAAATACAATAGGAAGGACTCCTACAACCTACATGCAACATGCAAATGTAACTATCCCACGCAAGAAATTTACAAGATGTAAATATACCATCAAATGAACGAACATCCATGGAAGTGGGCCTCAATTTTATAGAAGGGAATGAACCTGGGATAATTCATGAGGGCATAATGATTTCATTGTCTGTTCAATTTCATCAAGCTACGTATTTCTGTACAAATTAAAATAAATGTTTCAATCAGCAAAAAATATGTTACTTTGACCATAACTCGACTAACATGATGATAACGAAATCAATTAGTGATAACAAGAATAATTTTAGTAAGTGTTCGAACTGCCTTCCTTCACGTAGAATACAAATATTGCATCTTTTTAGTAATTCCCGATTTGTGACAGCTAAAAGCGTCTCTCGCGTTATGGAAGCACAAACAATTGTGATACTATTTTTCAAATCCTCTACATTTTGTGGACGTCGCATATAAACTAGGTCTTTGATATATCCCCACAAGAAGAAATCTAGTGGAGTAATATGTGGACTTCGAGCTGGCCATAGTATTGAACCCTTATTTCCAATCCATTTCTCATTGAAAGTATCATCCAAATGTTGGGTAACTATTCTATTATTATGTGGAGGAGCCCCATCTTGTTGAAACTATATATTGAGTCGAGTTTGTATTGGTAAATTCTCCAAGAGATTCGGCAACACATGTTATAGAAAAACCAAGTACCTCTTCCCATTGAGAATTCCTTCGAAAAAATGAGGTCCTATCAAATAACCATCAATGATTCCGCACCAAACATTAACCCCCCACACAGACTGAAATCTCGTTTCTTGCACCCAATGAGGGATCACGTCAGACCAATAGTGACAATTATGTTTGTTTATTATACCGTTGTTATGGAAACGGCTTTCATCACTCCATAATATTTTTTTCAGAAACTGATAATCATGAATACGGGTGGACCACCATGCAATGAAGTTCAATCTTCTATCAGCATCTCCTGAATATAGGAATATATTTCAGTTATTAAAAATGAAACATGAAGATTATTACCTGGATGTAGTCCTTGAACCAAATGTATTTTGTATGGATGGAATTTGTTTTTTGACAAAATACGATGTATTGACGATTTAGAAATGTTACAATGCATTGCTACTTGTCTGGTAGAACTATATGGTTTCAACACCATTTGATTTGACTTATTCATGGCCCTCTTTATAATACACAATAAAATTGTCTCTTTTCATCAGTATTCAAAGAAAACTACAAGTGTAATATATGGCTGAATTCAGAATTTAATGCAGAATTCAAAAACCAATTGAAAATACTGGGTTACCAAAATAAGAGGACCTTTCGACACCAAAATTATCTGCTTTCACGAAATATGGATATTTTTTTCATTTTTCAGAAATTTGCCCGCAGAGTTTTATATGGGACATCATGTATATATATCAAAGCCTCTGTAGATGATAACATTATCCTGAGGTGGATTGAAGGATATGACAGGAGTAAAGATAATTGCATTACTGACTCTTTAGCCAAGGAAGCGGCAATAAGACAGTGTGTGTTCGGTGAGTCTTGGCCTACACCTGCCCATATAAAGGAGATGTCTCCAAGTACCTTCCTGCAAAGGACAGGATGGACGATGACCTAGGAGGATAACTCCTCGGGAGGATGTACAATGGGTCACATGTGGCCTAAGTGCTGTAGACTTATACTCACCCTCCCCACTCTACAGATACAAATACAGATATGAGCAATTGTGCAGCAGACAATGTGGCGCCTTGTCGTTATAATCTATATGCACTTTCGAATCACAGTGGGACTACTTACAACGGGCATTACACATCATATTGCGGACACCCTTATAGCAGAGAAAAAAGTATAATACATTTCAGAAAATAGTTATTAGGAATGTTATAGCTTTCTACTTCCTACATTTCTCTGTATAAAGATGGAGGAGTAGAAAATCCAAATCTTTCTTTCCCTAAATTCAGTCTCTCCTAAAAATATACCCCTTTTAATTCAAACAAGATTCCCATGAATTTTAAGGGATGCGTTTTCCACCCCTTACAACCATGGGGTAAACAAAATAAATTACTGGTAGTACAGTCTTTTTGGTAGTTCAAAACGTCAGGTTAATTTCAATATTGTAACTTTTTCAGTGCTTGTGAAAAAAATTGTTATACATATTTTTCTGTACCCCCTTCAAGGGGCTGTATCTTAACAAGGGATGTTCCAATGAAGTTTCTTTATATGAAAGATCCTATCTTTTTTCGATGAGGAATCACCTCCTTGAATGTTTTACACTCATTCAGTTACACCCTGTATAGTGATATGTTATTGTCAATATTGCAAGCAATGTTTTGAAGATTACCTACCTGCTATGTTTCTTAATCATTTCTAGTAACTATGCATTGAAATATCTATCAGTTATTGATCCATTTTATTAATTCGTTCATCTCTATTGAAAATCTACCTATCTTTCATTTGCAATTGTATAATAATAATACTATTTATTCAATCCTTACAGATCACATACAGCATGATATAGGATACGTCACAAATAAAAAACCGTGTGATGGCAGACAATTTTACAATCAACAACAATACTAAATATTAAAATATCACTACTCAACAGATTTGTACACATTAACATGAAAACATTTATTACATTTATATTCATACATATGAGCAAACACATCTTCATTTTGCATCAAGAAATTCTTTGATATTATAGTAACGTTCTTCTTGCAAATATACTTTCACTTTTTATTTGAAGAAGTTTTTATTCCGTTGCTCTCTTAGGTTTGCGGGAAGATGATTGAATAACTTCATACCTCTATATGAGGGGCTTTTTTCATAGAATGATGAGCTGTGTGCAGGAATTTTGATGAAGTATCCATTTCTAGTTGGGAACCATGGCAATGAGAAACTGTTTGATACATCTCAGCATGATGCATAAATAACATTATACATTTGAAAACATAAATACATGGAACTGTTAAAATTTTATATTTTTGAAAATATGTTCGACACGATTTATCTGGTTTCAGACTGAAAATGAATGGAATAATTTTTTTCGGGAAACAAATATTCTGCTTGAGTTACTGGAGCATCCCCAGATGTTGATGTTACACAGTGAGTCAACAAGATTCCCTCGCTTCATTGCTATCAGAGTAAACAATTTTTTTAACTGTTCAATTTTTTCGCAGTAATATTGATAAATACTGTCTTTCAAAATAACTTTTTCGCATACTGGGTGATAAGTGATCTAAATAATCTTTATACTGCATTTTTTCTTTAAAAACCTAGTTATCCATGATTGACATCAAAAAATGATTCTCGGAATTTGTCAATAACGCCATGTGTCGAAGTTTCTTTCGCGTNGTTCACTGGTATTCCTGTATGTCATCGATTCTTTTACTGATTTAGACTCATTTGATTGTTCGTTCGAAATCATTTCGAAAATAGTACCAAAGTGATCGGCGATATTCATGTTTTTAACGGTTTCGAAATATCACATTATCTTCAATTATTCTCCACCTGCACAAAAGGAAGAATTAGGGTTTCCGTTCTGATATATGTGTATGTCAACACTTACCAAATTTATTCAAGCCAAAATTCTCTTCTCGTTAGTACTTTCTTATAAAATACTATATCTTAATCATTCGTGCATCTTAGAGGCACAGCTAGATTCACCAAGCTTGGCAGACTCCTGATCGCTGTGATCAGATTTTAACATTTCTTCAATGTATTTTTCACTTCAGAAACTATCAGACAATCCTAATTTATTATCTGGACTATCTTAAATTAAATTATCAACTCTCTTGTAAGCTGATATGTACAATATCAAAAACGTATTGCCGTTGCCTGCTCCAGAGTTCGTTGAATTTATGAGCGAAATTTCAAAATGCGCTTGATGAATCCAAAGGATAATACTGGTGAATATCCAATTTGGAGATTTGTTTCCCCAAATAGATCACATGAATACCTGAACTGAAGTTTGATTTGACTGAATAGCCAAATATACGTAGATCCGACCTACAACGGAATTTAAAGTTAGGGCAATGTGATTTATATGGTAACTTCGTTAATAGTAAGTCAAGTTTGTTAAACCAACTTGTTGAATAGCATAGCACGAAATAAATTACTTGCAATGGGTCGTCCAACAGGGATTTCTGAACTTTGAACCCCTTTTTTGTCTGAATTTTTTATTATATTAAAAAACACTTAGTATTTTTTGGAGACCTCAAGACTTTTTACACATAATTAACAGATTTATTTGGTAAATTCCTGTCTCCACGTGGACATCCGGTCCACCCGGCCTTCAACCGGCGTGAATGGGGACAGGAGTTATGTACATCCACTATAACACTCCCACGTGGACATCCGGTCCACCCCGGCCTCCAACCGGCGTGAATGGGAGTGCTGTTTCTCTATAACACTCATAGACTGTTCACAAAAACTTTTAATTTAATGATGGCACGTTCTATGACGGCAGACATTCACAAAACAAACTGAGTTTCGTCCCCAACAATGGCGTCCGCTTGCCTTCTTTGTGGACGGTCGCTGTCGGCACGTCCGTCCACCACCACATCAGAAACGAAACTCAGCATTCTCGGTTCAACGCGAATTCTTTCAGTCATGAGTTCACAAAACTTAATTCGTCGGTCTGGATCATCATCGCCTAGTTCTTGTAGAATTTGTGTTTTGTACGGGTGAAACTTATGTAATTTCAACACCTTTCTAACCGACTCATGTGAAAGTCCTGTCACTGCAGATTCTTGACGTGTTGATGCAGTAGGCTCCATTGCAAAATTTCCAAGGACCTCAATTTGGGTTGCTTCATTCAGTAATCTTGGGGCACCCTTTTTTTTATTTTGCACTAATCCCATTTCTCTAAACTTTTCAACTGAATCGCGGACGTACACGTGACTTACATTTTTGTCCGGATGCCTTTCAAGAAATATTTGAGTTGTTTTTAAATAACACTGGTTCTGGCAGGCAAATTGAAAATTATCTCCACAACTACAGCTGATTGACAGTACAGATCGTACAAATGATGAAAACTAATGACATTTAAAAGTTATTTATGTATCAAGGGAATTAGGAGGGCCTTAATTACCGATGGCAAAGTTTGCGTCCCGAGGGCCTCTGGCCCGAGGGACAGCAATTGCCTGAGGTTATTAAGGCTCATTAATTCCCGTGGTACATAGATAATTTTATTTCTGACCGATTTCAATAAAATTTTGTTCATTTTTGAAACGGAAAAATGTACCAATTCATTACCTTCCCGGTATATTTGAATCAGGTACCGTTGATTATAGTAGAGTTTTCTTGTTGCTAGGTTGTTGCTATGTTACTTGTTTATAAACAGAACTTTGTTATCAAGCTGTGTTTGCGGTGAAAACGTGTTTTCTACCCCAAATATAATGGAGGATATTTTGAAAAAAGCTGAACAAGCAAGAGAATCAT